ACCTCTGCTCTGCCCCCTTTCCCTATAATAAATTGATAATTTTTTTCTAATCACTACCTCATCATGTGGTCAAGAAGAGGCAACGTTCAGAACCAACTGTAGCGCTCAGCTCATCCCTAGGAGCTCTCGGAACGGCTATAATTTTGTCAAGTCTTTTTCTTGAAAGAACTGTTAAGCTGATATTCTGTTCAGAAGACGAAACAAGCATCAGAATCGCCCGTAGGCTGTTCGCCAAGCGATATAGCTTTGGCCAAAACGGCTGTAAAAGTTTCCAGTTGCATAGCTGAAGAATCAGAATTTTTAAATTAGTTTTTGTAGGTTTTCTCAAATCACCGCACACTTTTTTAGACTATTTTCGTTTTTCATTATAACAGGCCAGTGCTGGCAAGAAGATGGATGAAATCCGTAGCAGGCAGCCACTTTTCGTTGATGCTAGCTTCGAAACAATAGCTGCAGTGAATGAGCATGCTGCTCTACCGCACTACAGAAGTGATCCAGAGACGGGCAAAATGCTGATAACAAATTCCAGTGTGTTCCTACTCGATTCCGGTGGACATTATCGGTATGAAAAAACAAATCCTTAATTGACTTTTACGCTGTTTTTCAGCTTATGCTAACTAAAAATATTCATTTCTGTAGTGGTTTTTTTTTTGTTTTTACATATAAGTACTTGCTCTGATCATCTGCAGTATTATTATTATGCTTGCTTGAGTTAGCAGAAAAAAATCAGGTGATCTTTCCCTGGTATGCGCGAATTAGCATCACGTGGTAGCGCTTCTACTTAAAGACTTAGCCTTGTTCTTGCAAAATTATTGCGGAGCAACTGATGGCGTGTTTTCGAGAAGGAAAATTTTTGAATTTGAAGCGAAAAAATCAGCAAAATTTTTTCAGTTTGGAAAAAAATAGCTTATTTTGAAAGTAATTGACACTTTGATCGGAGTGCTGTGATTTTGTGATTTAGTGATGGCACAACAGATGTAACACGGACAGTTGCTTTCCCGGGCAATGCAGATAAGGAATTCAGCAGAATGTTTACACTGGTACTGAAAGGGCATATCAATAATGCTATGCTCATTTTCCCGGATGGCGTAAATGGTAAGTTTCTTCACAAATATCGCTTTGACCCATAGTGCAGTGGCAAGCAGAATTATTGTCGTGCCCAATCTCGAAAGTTCAACTCCGCAACTGGAACACTGGGTCTAGTCGTTTCGGTAGTAAGTTACCAAACCGATTAAGTTACCAAACTACCAAACCGATTAAACGGATTAAGGTTATGCCGAAACGACTAAACTATTTAAGCAACCCGCAAAAGCGAGAGCCACCGACATCCTTACCAGCGTGTGGTTGCTGTTGGCACTTGCTACCTCTTCCGAGGTGCCTCTGTCTTTCCATAGGAATAAAGCACACCAGTGTTGAAGAAACCTTCTGAAAATTTGGTGTAACATTAAGAGTTTTCAGGAATTCGTCTGGACTCTCTGTCGCGACAATCGTTGTGGGCTGATGGTTTGGATTTTGAGCACGGTGTTGGTCATGGCGTCGGACATTTTTTGAATGTCCATGAAGGACCAGGCAAGGAATTATTGCTGGAAATCGGGGACTGATTTTCCACGGACTTCTCCTATCGTCTTCTTTTCATTCGCACTTAGCGCCTTTTGTATTGAAAGTTAAACATGCGAATGCATTAAGTGACGCTGTTCAAGCATTGAGGACATGGTTAACGTGAATTACCAAT